CCCCCCCCCCCCCCAAGTGCTCACCCCTATGATTCTCGCCAAGGTCAGGGCTCTGCTGTAGCAAGTCAAGCACAACAGTCTGCCGCAGGGTGCTGACTGACAGGCCCCTGGGAGGGCCCGGGCCGGGCTTGGCTTCGGTAACCCAGGCGGCCCACACCTCCTAGGCTAGAAGACAGTGAACAGGCAGCCACCTCCTGCCTCTGGAGATGCCAGCCTGGAGCGGGGTTGAGGATGCCGAGAGAGGGCCTGGTGCGTACTCCCCTGAGCTGTGGCCTCAGCTGCTCCCCCGGGCTCTGCAAAGAATGGGGGAACCCACGGGGAGTGGAAGGGCCGTGGAGAGGACCGTACCCCCATTAGAAAACATTCAGGATTCTTGTCAAGTAGTAAAAGAAACACCTGGTGTTTTCAACAAATATGATCAATGTAGGCTCAGTGATGAAAAAATATGATGACTAGCAGAAGGAAAGGAGTGCTGGTGGTGCAGCGGTTAAAGCACGCCGCGGCAAACTGAAAACAGCAGTCGGCCCTGGCCAGCTGCTGGGCAGGAGGAAGAAGGGGCCATGGGCTTCTCGGAGGCCCCCGGGGGCAGGTGGACTGTCCCACAGGTTGCTCTCAATCAGAATCGATGCGCTGGCCCCTGATGCAGGGGGCATGGCTCCGGGCATCTTGGGACGTCACACACGGCCTGCCAAGGTGGCGGCGCGGCACAAGACACCGAACTGCATGCTCTCAATCCAGCCTCACGGCAGCCTGGGGGCAGCTACTGTTATAAGCCCACCCCAGATTTTGTAGCTGAGGAAACAGGCTCAGAGAGAGTAAGACACTTAGAAAGCCATCCCAGTCTTAACTGTTGTTCCTTCCCTCCCTCCCTCCTGTTCTTATACTTCTCCTTCGCTGTAGCTCAGACCATGCAAATTATTTCCCAGTCTGAAGAGGCCTCACAGGGTTGGCATCAAGGGGTCCATGGGCCTTTGAGGTAGGCCGTCTGAGGAAGGATCCGTTTCCTGGACTTTTCTGGAGGCTGCCGGCATCCCTTAGCTCAGCCCCTCCCCCGCCCACCCCCAAAGCACACAATGCCAACCCCGGCTTCTGTGGTCCCCTCTCCTTTTTCCTCTCACCCTCCTGCTTCCTCTCGTACAGACCCTCATGACTGGAGCCATTTGGAGAGCCCTGATGGCGTAGTGGTTATGCATGGGGCTGCCAACCACAAGGTCAGCAGTTCGCACACC